TAGCGTACATTTATCACTCCTATTCTCCTTAAAGCAGTCACTTCACTTTACACTTTACTTATAACTTTGTCTCTTTATGACTTTAATATTAACCAATTAATCATAATTCATTAAATAAAAACACCTTCAAAATCACGCGTCTGACTTTGGTTGCATATGCAAATTAAATAGCGGAGTTCAGCTGTCGAACTCCAAAATATGCAAAAAATTAGAGGAAAAAGAAGATAAGATATAACCCAGTAAGCATCAAAAATATAAACCTTTCCATGGCAAATATTTATTTAATCTTTAATTTAATTTAATTTATTTTATTTAATAATGGGCCGGCAGCCCCAGGTTTACTACACAGAAAGGGAATTATAGTTACCTCATCCTTTCCCAAGGTTACATCACTGGGCGGTAGCCCCAGTTGGTGCACATCAAAAGGACGATTATATTTGGTAAGGGTTATAATTCTACGCAGATAAGTTGTTGTGCTTCCTTTTACGCACACTCGTAGCACACACAAAAAACTATTAAACACGCTTACCACTCGCACCGCTGTCTTTGGAAATGCGCTGTTTCTGCGGCTATTGGCCGACGCCGAGCAATATGTATATATGTGGATACCTTGTGAATTCCTCTTAAAAAGATGATTTCGCTGGTATGGCTCGATCCACAAAGAAAGACACCAAAAATCATTTCAATTTATTAGCTCCAAACGAAAATATAAAAAAGAGAGAATGAAAAATTAACAAAAGCAAAATGTCACACATGGTTGCATTCTAAACTAAAACTTTAACATTGTTGCAGAGTTGCATTTCAAAATACGATATTAGGAAATTAATTTAAAATAAGTTAATCTAGTAGTGGTGTCCCCACTGTACTCCCCTCCTAGATGCAGGGTGTGGCAATGAAAACTGGCTTTAACCGGTCAATGGAGACGTTCACCTTGTTGTTGTTGACGCTGACAGCGAAGTATTTAGGATGACGTTCTAATACCTTGTACGCAGTGATCGGACTTCTACCACATTGTGGTAGATCTTTCACTTTTTGGAGCACCCACCACATCTACCACACAAAGTCAGAAATCTGCCACATATTCGCATTTTTGAGTAGTTATAATTTAGCTCCACATGATTTTCTTTATTTTTTAATTTTAAGAACAAAAATTGTCCAACACTAAACACTATGTGATAACAAGTAGGGACAGGATATCGAATAGTACTCATTTACAGTATCACTGTAAAAATATCGAGCTGTAAAAATATCGCAATAAAAAACTCGATATTCCAAATATCGAAAAAAAATTAAAAAAATTAAATTTGAATATTGGTGTTATTTTCTATTAAAGAATTAACACTTTCCACTTTAATGAGTACATCACTGAAGGCGCGCCACATACCAACCTAAGATAGTTCACATTTCTGCGCTTTAAAGCTCAAAATATATCCATATTGCTTTACATATAAATTCCAAAGTTAGTAAGGTTATAGTACGACATAGATTTGCAAGAAATGGAATGTTTAAAAACAATATTAACAACAAAACTTTCAATAGAAATTTTAGTAAGGACAAATTTTTACATTTTGGAATTTGGAAAAATAACTTTAAATATTTCAAACATTGTCATATAAATGTATCATTATTAACAGTAACTTTGTAATGTACATTTACGATTCGATACGTACGATTCCAAAAAATATCGTTTGAAAACTTTCAAGTAAAAAGTAATGGTATCGAATGGCAAAAATATCGAAATTCGTGTCCCTAATAACAAGAATGATAGGATACAAGATTTCGCATTCACGGCGGCGATGAGTAAACAAGCCGAATGGGAGGAGAAAAGAAACTGTCAAACAATCGATTTCTCAATTTTAAATTTTTCGTCGGGAAACTTGACTTTATTGTGTTAAATTGCAAAATATATGATTTATAAAAAGAATTAATAAAGAAAATGTAAAAATCTGCGATCTTTGTAAAAAATTAGCACATTACAGTGCATCTAAAGTTTTTAACGCGTTGTTTCCTTTTACTTGAGGATTGTCAAAATTTGGCAAAATCCAAGTTAAAAGTTTTTTCTAGAGATTCGAAGTATAAAGTTTTCAGTTAAGGTGAAACCTTGCCGATTTTTTTTAAATTTTTGGTAAAAGTTTGATCCGAAACCTGAGATCTACCACATTTTTTCTAAACCTACCACATTTTTTTCCAGAATCTACTACACAGAATTTTTTTTAAGTCCGATTACTGCTTGTACGGTCCTTTGTAAGGTGGCGATAATGATGGGCGAACAGAAAGATCTCGAACAAAAACTTGATCACACGTCGCAAGATCACTGTGTACGAAGAATTTTTGTTTTGTGTGCCAGGCAGTATCAACCGGGCGAATATTCCTCATGACATGTCAAAGATGTGTTACCATTTCAGATGTGTCATTAACATTTCGCTGATCGGTCGACTGCCATCAATAAAGAACTCCGATGGTAAACGTAAGGTAGTTCCAAAAACTAATGCCGCCGGTGAGGCGCCAATGTCAATCTTGAATGAACACCGATATCCCAACAAAGTTAGCAGTAAAAAACTTGTCCATTGTTCGAGGTTGTGGCCTAATATTGCGGACTTTACTGTCCGGTGCCATCGCTCGACTATGCCGTTGGTTTGCGGATGGTAAGCAGTTGTCCGCAGATGTTTAACGCCAAGACATTGTAAAAGTTGTTGAAATAAGGAGCTTTAGAATCGGCGTCCAAGATCTGACGTGAAGTCAATTGGAACGCGGAAACGAGCTATCCAGCCCTCAATCAAAGCTTTAGCTACTGCCGGAGCCGTGCTGTCTGGTATTGCGATAGCATCTGGCCATCGAGTGAACGGATCAATTACCGTGGGACAGTAGCGTTTACCGTCAGATATAGGAAACGGCCCAACGATGTCTATATGTAAATGCGAAAAGCGCTGATTTGGGCACTCACGACGTTTAAACGCCGCTAAGCAATGTCGACGTTCGGTCATTAACTTTGACGTAATTCGCATGACTGGGTGCAAGATATTGTGTGTTGCTCGCAGAAATTCCTGCCTAAATCTTTTTGTAATAAATGGTCGTATGCGGCCAGTTGAGCTGTCACAATGCACTCTCTTCGTACCTGAAGGTAGAACATAGCATGTTAGCTTAAGTGAAGGCTTTAGTTGACCATTTATGTAAGATTGAAGTTCCTCATCGTTGGTCTGGTCCTCTGCTAGATCATCGCAATTAAGCGACTCCGATGTTATGGATTCTATACGAGATAGGAGGTCTGCTGTAATGTTTTGTTGACTAGGAACGTGCCGAATATCTGCGCGATAAAATCTAATTGACGAGCTTGGCGATCGGAAGCTTTCTCGGGGCGCAGCTGAAAAGCATAAATTAATGGCTTATGGTCTGTGTATACGTGACACTCTCGTCCTTCTAGCAAAAAGCGAAAGTGACGCATTTCCCGGAGCTTTGCAGTAAGCTCTCTATCGTAAGTGCTGTATCATTGCCCAGCTTTTGAAAACGATCGTTGAAAGAAACCTAGGGCTGAAGCGTGTTGTTGACTACCTGATGTAAAGCAGCACCACAGGCATTGTCCGAAGCGTCAACCCATAAGGAGAGCGTCGTATTAGGTATAGGATGAGCAAGTAAAGTGCACTTCGCAAGGCTTTCTTTACAAGCTTCGAAATGGCGAATGTTCTCACTAGACCAAGCTGGCGCAGTTCTATCGTTGCGTTTGTTCCCCGGGACCACCTTTAACAGCGGCGTTAGATGGAGAAGCGGTTGTGACAAGAATGGCCTGTAAAAGTTTACCATAGCGAGGAAGCGTTTCAGGTCCTTAACTACAGTAGGCAGCTTAATTTTTGTTATTGCCTCCACGCGGCTTGGAAGCGGCGTAATACCATCTTTTTTAATAAGATGCCCCAAGAATTCAAGTTCTGATACGCCAAGAACAGACTTTGCGACGTTTATGGTGAGCTTCTCCAGATCTTTACGATGCTCGTCTTGAGAACCTGAAGCCACACAGATGTCATCCAAGTAGATAAAAATGTTTTCAATACCATGCAAAACCTCGTTTAAGACCCTTTGAAACGTTTGCGCAGCGTTGCGAAATCCAAAGGTCATTTGCCGAATGGAGTTGTAATGGCTGTCTTACAAACGTCCTCTGGGTGGATGCGGATCTGGTGGAAGGCTCTCAGTAAATCTATTTTCGAAAAGATGACTTTACCAGCAAGTATGTGTGTAAAGTCATGCAGGAAGGGCAGTGGGTACCGATCGGGTACCGTAACTGCATTTAAGGCGCGGTAGTCGCCGCATGGCCTCCAGGACCATGTGCAGTGGGCTTGCCCAATTACTTCTGGACGGCTGACAAATTCCCAGTTTCATCAACAGCTCAAATTCAGCTCGCGCGGCGGCTAGTTTTTCTGGAGAAAGGCGTCTCGGTCGGGAAAAAACTGGTTGGCCCGTAGTGATGATGCGGTGAGCGACCGAAGACTTTGCAATGGTTTCGACAGGCGGCGGGCGAGTGGTATCGCAAAACTCTTTGAGTAAGTTTGAAAAATCTAGAGCTGTATTAACGGTTGACACACTTGTCGAGTTAATTTAAGTTGTATTGAGTTGCGCAACTGAACATACCGTCTTATAGGCAGTTTTACGGTCGAGCAAACACCGTCCATTAAGATCGGGTAGCAGGTCATAATACGATAAAAAAATCGGCACCAATAATCGCTTGAGTAACATCCGAAATCACAAAACTCCACATAAAATCTATACGCAAGTTTAGGTTAAGGTTTAGGATTACTTCACCAAAAACTTGAATTTCTGTACCGTTCGCGGCAAACAGTTTCATATCCTGGTGTTGCTTTAGCCAATTTAGAACATTTTGGTATAGTTGATACGTCTGCGCCTGAGTCGATTAAAAAATTAATTTTTGTGGACGTATCAAATATACACAGACGAAATTTCGAGGGCATTTCAGACCGTTTGCCAATATCTAAAAAGCCAATGACTGAGCAACCCTATTGTGAAACGTTTGTGGATGGTGAGCGAGCGAACGTGCATGGTGGCCGACATCTGGTAGCTTTTTGGCCGAACTTTGCGTGGTACCAGCACACTTCATCAGAACTGCTGTCTGATATTCGATTGCGCGCTGGTGTTTTAGAACGCGAGCGTCGGTGAGTTTTGCCATTATCTAACGCTTTATCGATGCACTGTGTAAGTGCAGCTATTTCGACCCTTAGATCTGAATCCGAATTATTTTGTATGCCGCACACTTCGTTAACGCGTCCCTCTCGTAGTTGGATTGACTCAACAATGAAGTCGGTAATTTTTAATTTTTTGGTAATTGGTACACTAGTTGCTATAATAGCTGCTTTTGCGTATGCGGGCAAGCGGTTAACCCATAAATCGTGTAAAATGCTCCCACTCAAAGCGGAACCGGCTGCGCGCTTCATCTCATTGAAAAGATCGCTTGGACGGCGATCGCCTAATGGCATTTCGCGAACTACGCGGTGCAGATGGCATTGCTGGCTTTCTGTGAGATATTCTGTTAACTTTGTGCGGATGTACTGGTATTTCCCAGTACTTGGTGCCGCATCGATAATAGGGCGCAGTTCCATTAGTTTAAGCTGTGTTATGCTAGCCGCGACTATGTTAAATTTAGCATGATCTGCATTGACACCTGATTTTTCAAACCAGAAGTCAAGTGAATAAAAATATGCTTCAATATTATCCTGTGATAATATTGGAAGCGGAATGCGTGGAATGCATGAAGTAGCTGGAGTTAAGTCCTCACGTGAAGACCCAGCTGGCGGTGCTAGCGTATCGTTTAAGCCATTTGATTTTCTATGTAATTTGACTAATTTACCGTCTGGGATCACCAAATTGTGGATACCTTTTGATTTCCTCTTAAAAATATGTTTTCGCTGGTACGGCTCGATTAAAAAAGGACGAGACCAAAAATCATTTCATTTTATTAGCTCCAAACGAAAGTATAAAAAAGAGAGAATGAAAAATGAACAAAACCAAATGTCACATGGTTGCATTCTAAACTAAAACTTTCACATTGTTGCAGAGTTGCATTTCAAAATACGATATTAGGAAATTAATTTAAAATAAGTTAATCTAGTTGTGGTGTCCGCACATACATATGAATTGGGGATGCTCCGCTAGCGGCTCCTTAAATAATTGTTGCTCCTTAAGAAGGCTGCTCCCAGATTACTGCAGGAGGCAGGGCTCCGTAGCACAAATTAATTATCAATTGACTATATCACTCGGGACAACTACTTCCGAGTTAAGTGAGACTTTATTAAATTTTAATTAAATTTTATTTTAATTTGGTGCTAGCCGCGTGCCGTTCAGTATCAAAGTCCAAGTTCGAATTGCATTTTCAATTTTTACAAACTGACGCCTGAGCTCAGTGGAAAAATAACTGTTGTTAGGTTGGCAGTAGTACCAACATTATGGTAGAGCTGAAATGCGCTGTCATATCAATAGGGTTACCATCAGTGATCAGGCTTACAATAATCCATTGTTCCAAGAGGCGATGGCAAATTGATGTGGAGGAATGAGATGCATAATCAAATGATTACTTCCTATTTATTTATATTTACAGAATTCAAAAAGTGTTTCCACTTGAACTAAGAAACGCTATTACTATGCCTTAATTAACTAAATCTAATAATTTGTATTACAAAATATACAAGAATTAAAGTTTCTTTGGGTGAAATCCTAAGTTTTTCTTATTTACAATGTGTATGGAATATATGTATTTCGGTAAAATTTAAAATTTGTTTCGTTCGTTTCTTGTAGAATTTTTTTGAAGTTTGAATTTACAATTTTAATATTAAGTAAGAAAATTTTGCAATATAACTTTCTTATAATATGTATATTTCAGTCATTCTTTCCCTTTTATCGTTTAGGTATAGTTATTGTTCGTATATTTGTGATAAAAATTTAAGTAATTGATGTAGCTTAATATTTAAACATTGTAGCTAAGTACATTACAATTGTATAAGTGACGTGAAAATTCATTTGTGGTTAAATTTGGAATTTTCTTGAAATATAGCAACTCATATCGAGGGCTTATATTCAATACCCCCTATCTGCAAGAACTCAATTTTTCAGGAAGGCAAAAAAACTGTTTTGAGAGCTATTTTTAAAAGTGTTAATAATTTTAAGTACGTACGCATGTCTTAAAAATTCACGCTATATATTAAAACTAGGATTTTACTTTTAATTCATTTTATTTTAGTTTTAAGATCAGATAGAGGTTATTGCAATTCGAATTGAAACTAGTTATATAAAAAATGTGCTGATAGCGGGTTTTGCAGAATAATAAAAATGTCAGTACTTTAGATGTAAATGTTTGCATTTTATTAGCAACTAGCAGACCCGGCGAACTTGGTCGCGCGAAAAATTTTTTATATATTTTATTGAAACTTTTTGTTCCAACATTTTCACTAACAATTCACGTTTACGATTTCCATTGGCACATTCGCCTGCTAAGATTATGGTTTGGTGGTCATTTGCCGCTTTAAATAACCTAAGGAAAGTGTTATGTCCGTGAAGAAGTTCTTTAAATTCTCCAGTTGTGCGGCATTACATAGCACGGTTATTCGCAAAGCGAAATACATTTTTTCCTCTTCGTTAAAATCCGTACAACCATTTAGGAGGATTTCACTCACAAACACACCTACAGAAGAATTAAAAAATACATTCAAAGATAGCTAAAGGTCGGTACGTTTGCAGGCCTCACACCCCTTTTTCAAATAGCCAAATTGTCTCCATGAGTATGGGCTTGATTTCAACTACATACATATCTCCATACGAAGTTCCAGTACTGTACCATGAATACTTTCAGAGATATGCAGTATAAAAATTCGATTTATATGGGAGGTGCCATGCCCCCTTTCCAACAACTGCCCTCTTTCTTCATGAGTATGCGATTGATTTCGTATATCTCCATACCAAGTTCCAGAACTCTACCATGAACACTTCCAAAGATAGGCAGTATGAAAAATTCTGTTTGTATGGAAGATGCCACGCCCCCTTTTCCAATAGTTCCAATTTTTCCTCAAGAGTTGATTGCGTATATCTCCGTACCAAGTTCCAGAACTATACCATGAACACTTCCAGAGATATGCAATATGAAAAATTTGGTTTGTATGGAAGATGCCACGCCCCCCTTTTCCAATAGTTCGAATTTTTCTCCAAGAGTATGCGATTTATTTCGTTCATCTCCATAAAAAGTTCCAGAACTCTACCAAAAAATTTCCAGAGATATGCGGTATGAAAAATACGGTTTGTATGGGAGATGCCACACCCCTTTTTACAATAGCTTAAATTTTTCTCCAAGGGTATGCGATTGATTTCGTATATCTCCATACCAAGTTCCAGAACTTTACCATGCTCACTTTCAGAGATATGTAGCATGAGAAATTCGGTTGTATGGGAAGTGGCACGCCCCCTTTACATATAGATTTTTTTTAGCCTAAAACCATCTTTGGGACACGTGCGGCAGGTGGCAGTTTAAAAAAAAAATCGGTTCAACAGCTCTTGAGCCTTGCGAAAACTAAAAAAACGGCTTTTAAAATATATATTAGTTGAGATATATTATATATTATATTTATATTTTGACAGTATCCGTTGTTTCTGATTGGCGCAAAAAAATCTTGCCTAGTGACGAATTGGCCCCTTGATATGGTCGTTGCTCAAAACTATTTATATTCGAAATTGCATGAAAATTGGAAAACAGGAATCTATAAGCTTATCCAGGCAAAAAGCTACCTACGTACCGAATTAAAAGCAAATCGGACCATAAATACGATTTCTTCGAATAGATCGGTCCCTGGTCCACTTCTCGGAAAACATGGATCATATATGCTAATATATGCTAAAAAGCTACTTACATACCAAATTTTAAGCAAATCGGACCATAATAAGATTGTTTCGAATATATCGGTCCCTGGTGCACTTCTCGGAAAAAATGGAGCATATATGCTAAAAAGCTACCTGCGTACCGAATTTTAAGCAAATCGGACTGTATATATGATTTTGTCGAATAGATCGGTCCCTGGTCCACAGCTGGGAAAAAATGGATCATGTATGCTAATATATGCCAAAAAGCTACCTGCGTACCGAAGTTTAAGCAAATCGGACCGTAAATACGATTTTTTCGAATAGATCGGTCCCTGGTCCACTTCTCGGAAAAAATGGATCATATATGCTAATATATGCTAAAAAGCTACTTACGTACCAAATTTTAAGCAAATCGGACCATAATAAGATTTTTTCGAATACATCGGTCCCTGGTCCACCTACCCGAAAAAAGTAAATTTTTTTAGCCTAAAACATGGTGGTTACCGAAAGCTATTTATATACAAAATTTCATGAAAATCGGTCCAGCCGTTCGCGAGATTACCTCTTACAAAAAAAAGGGACTTCTCTTTATATAATTAGTATAGATAGATATAGATATAGATAGTATAGATAAATAATTGTCGGCCGCTGTGGTGCAGTGCGCGCTTCCACTCCGGAAAGCCTGGGTTCAAACCCTGATCAAAGCAACATCGCAAAAAATATAGAAAAAATGTTTTTTCTTAACCGGTCGTTCCTCGGCAGGCAATGGCAAACCTCCGAGTGTATTTCTGCCATGAAAAACAGCTTCTCATAAAAATACAATCACCGTAAAACTGTAGGTTCCTCCGCTTTGTGTGACAACATCAAGGCTCACGCCACAATTCGGAGGAGAAGCTCGGCCAAACAGTAACATATGTGTAAGCGCCAATCTATTATTATTATTATTAGAGAGTGATTTTGCTGTTTGACATTTTTACAGGATTTTACACGGAAAGTATTAGATTAGAGCTATTATATCATCCATACATATGTATATGGCTCATTCCATCTCAAATCACCCAGGCCGGCGGAAAGTGAA